CAAACACATCTTTATTAATCAAAATAGGAACCATTACAATCAACATATTTTTGCCAATGAGAAATAGATTTGTTTATTCCTGTAGTGTAAAAATCCATGCTCTGGGATTCAACAAATTCTTGGAAAGCATTTTCTGCATCCTGCTGGTTGTGGAAGTGTTTTCCCTGCAAAAAGTTGTCAAGATGTTTGAAGAAGTAGTAATCCATTGGTGAGAGGTCAGGTGAACATGGCGGGTGAGGCAAAACTTCGTCATCCAATCCGTTCAATTTTTGAAGTGTTGGTTATATGATGTTCAGTAGGGCGTTGTCGTAGAGAAGAATTGGGTCCTTTCTGTTGACCATAGCTGGCTGCAGGCAGTGCAGTTTTTGGTGCATCTCATGTATTTGTTGGGCATATTTCTCAGATGTGGTGGTCTCGCCAGGATCCAGAAAGTAGAGGATCAGACCAGCAGCAGACCACCAAACAGTGACCATGACCTTTTTGTGGTGCAAGTTTGGCTTTGGGAAGTGCTTTGGAGCTTCTTGGCCTAATCACTGAGCTTGTTGTCACTGGTTGTCATATAACTTTTCATGGCACATCATAATCTGATGGAGAAATGATTCATTATTGTTGCATAGAATTAGAGAAGACAACACTTCAAAATGATCAGTTTTAAAATTTTCAGTCAGCTCATGAGGCACCTACTAATCAAGCTTTTTCACCTTCCCAATTTGCTTCAAATGCCAAGTGACCAAACAATGGTCAACCTTGAGTTCTTTGGCAACTTCTTGCGTAGTTGTAAGGGGATCAGCTTCGATGATTACTCTCAGTTGGTCATTATCAACTTCTGATGGCCGGTCACTATGCTTCTCATTTTCAAGGCTCTCGTCTCCTTTGTAAATCTTCTTAAACCACTACTGCAGCATACGTCCTAGCAGTTCCTGGGCCAAATGCATTGTTGATGTTGTGAGTTATCTCTGCTGCTTTACAATTCATTTTGAACTCAAATAAGAAAATTGCATGAATTTGCTTTTTGTCTAACATCATTTCCATAGTCTAAAATAAATATAAAATAAACAACAAATAATAAGTCATTAGCAAAAAAAATAAAGTGAGAAATGTGCATTAAAATGATGAATAGGGTCACCCCTTCAGGTCCCCTCCCACTGTGGGAGCTTTTCTGTTTTCTCAGTAAATCCTACTTTCTCACAATAAATAAATAAATAAACAAATAAATAAAATGATGCATAACATAACCACTTTTATTTAAGAATATATTTCGATGTCAAATGGCAAATTTCAACAATACAAAAACCATAATTATTTTTGAACAGTGATAATGAGTCATTTTTAAGTAGGAGAAGGGGGCTGGTTAGTGGCTACTGGCTCTGGGGTACATTTTTAAGGAGGAATAAGCACATTTTGGAGATACAAAATATTAAGCTCAGAGCTCAGATACTTGATAAAACTTTACATTCAAGAATATGTGAGAAAAGCTCTGAGAATACGGTTCTCAGGCAGAAACTAGATTTTTAAAGAGTCACAATATTCAGGGGAAAAAAATTTCTCTGAAGAGGCAACTAAAAAAGCAACCAAGTATTTGGCAAAGTAGTGGTATAGCACCAGCTTTAGAGTAAACTACATAACAGATTCAACTCTACTATATTCAAGCTATGGTACCTTGAGCAAATTATTTACCTTTTCTGTGCCTCACTTTTCTCATTTGCACCTACCTAAGGATTGTTGTGAGATTAAATAAAATGCGTGTAAAGCATTTAGGTCAGGGACTTACTGTTTGTTTGTTTGTTTTTTTTTTTGAGTTGGAGTCTCACTCTGTCGCCCAGACTGGAGTGCAGTGGCCACTCCCGGCCACCACAGCCTCAACCTGCTGGGCTCCGGTGATCCTTCGCCTCAGTCTTCCAAGTAGCCGGAATTACAAGCGCGCGCTACCACGCCCTGCTAATTTTTTTTTGATTTATTGTAGAGATGAAGTCTCGCTGCCCAGGCAGGTCTCGAACCCGCGAGCTCAGGCAATCCACTCACCTCAGCCTCCCAAAGGCGCGGGATTACAGGCTGAGCCACCGAGCCCGGCTATATCCTCATCTTCAAATGAAGCATAATTGTATATGCATTTATAAAACTGATCTGTGGGAGAAAGTTTCCTTTCTTCTACTTTACAAAAGAAAGGCATTCCTATGCCCCAATCTTAAACCTTGCATTTTTAAATAAAACAACAAAAAACAGCGTCTGGAACCTTAACCAAGAGATAATTAAAGATGTCCTCCAACAAAGGTACCATAAACTCACCTAAATTCACCTCTTTTTTTGAGTTGGTGTCTCACTCTGTCTCCCAGGTTGGAGGGCAGTGGCCTGATCACAGCTCATTGCAACCTTAACCTCCTGGACTCAAGAGATCCTTCTGCCTTAGCCTCCCAAGTAGCTGCAACTACAGGTGTGTGCCACCACACTGGGCTAATTTTTAATTTTTTTTTTTTTTTTTTTTGAATTGGCGTCTCACTCTGTCGCCCAGACTGGAGTGCAGTGGCCGCTCCCGGCCACCGCAGCCTCGACCTGCTGGGCTCCGGCGATCCTTCCGTCTCAGTCTTCCAAGTAGCCGGAATTATAGGCATGTGCTACCACGCCCGGCTGATTTTTTGATTTATTGTAGAGATGAGGTCTCGCTGCCCAGGCGGGTCTCGAACCCGCGAGTTCGGGCAGTCCACTCACGGGACTTACTCCTAAGACATTTTACAAACTGTTATTAGTAACACAATGGGGTTTTTAAGGAAGAGAGGAAGAGGGTTGGTCCTCGATAGCTTTGTTGGAAGGCGGTAAGGTTCTGCAACAGCAGGTATGCTACCAAAGAGTTGGAAGAAGTGTGCTGACACATTTTCACGGTGTTTCTGAGGGACCCATAACAACGGAAGAGAAGTGTCAGACCAAGAACACACCCTCCGGAGCCGATCTGAGAGGTCGGCGACCTTTGAAGATTAGCGCTTATGACAAAGGACACATCCTCTGGAGGAACTCTGAGCCTAGCAGCGGACTCATTAGTGGTATTGGGGAAGGGGTGGAGGGCAGTCCTGGGAGCGCCCGAGAGGCCTGTGAAGGGACATAAAGGGGCTTGATGGAAGAGTGAGGTAGGAAGAAAAGAGCGGCGCGGCAACTATGGGTTTGCTCTCACACTCTCTAGCCACAGCCTCGGCTGGGACGTTCACCTCCCAGGAAATTCAGGGAAACTTTTCGGGCCGGAAGTGACAGCCTCAGACCAAAGGTGCTGAAGAACTAGCGCTGCAAGCGGCCCGGAGTCTCACGCCCGACAGCGCAGACGGTGACTTCCGGGTGTGCGCGCGCATCAGCGACCGGAAGCGCCCAACTAGGATACAAGGGGGGCGGGAGCAGAAGCGGCTCTTCCGGCCGCGCGGGCCGTGGGCTGGTCCTGTGTGCAGCCAGAGGTTGGAGGCCGCTGGAGAGGGCTCAGGGAGTTCGACTTGCGACTGCGTCCGCGGCTGGACCTTTCGCGAGGCGTTTTTCACACACGTTAAGAAGAACCTCACATCCTAAGGTCGATTTCTAGAGTAGATTGTCGCCAGATGGCAAAGATTCGGGATTTGTTTGGGATCCCATATTTTTGTAGATTAATTTGCCCAGATTGGAAAGTAGTACAATACTAGGAATTCCCATCCAGCAATATGGTTATTTCTCCATTAATTCAGATCTTCCTTTATTCTTCAGGTGAAGTGTTGCAATTTTCTTGGTATTTTGTGCATTTTTTAGATTCCCCCCCCTTGTTTTTGTTATTTCCGTAATGGATTATTATTATACCTTAAAATAGTGTGGTTTTATTATTCATCTGTCACTTCTCTGAAACTTTGTATTCTAATAATTTGACAGATACTCCTCTTTGGTTTTGTAGGTTAAAAATAGATCCGTAAATAACAATTTTGGCTTTTCCGAGGATTCCAGTGCAACACTGAATTAGTAGCTACAGGTATTTCTTTCCACAAGTAATTTGGATTGCACTTATGTACCATTCAGTTACCACAGATCTGCAGAAATACAATATTTAAAGGCAATTCGTTCTTTTTGTAGTTTGCCAAGTGGTATTATTAGTGTTATTTTTGAGTCGGGGGTCTCACTCTGTCACCCAGCCTGGAGTGCTGTGGCATGATCATTATGAACACTGCTGTGATACCCAGACCCCCTGGGCTCAGGGATACTTCGCCTCAGCATCCTGAATACCTGGGACTACAGGCATGTGCCACCATGCCCAGGCTAACTTTTTTTTATTTTTGCAGAGAGGAGGGTTCACTGTTTTGCCCAGGCTGGTCTCGAACTCCTGGACTCAAGCAATCCTCCCAAAGTGCTGGGGTTACCAGCATGAGCCACCGCACCTGGCTGGTTTTATTAGTTTTAAAATAAGAAATGACTAAGTTTTATCAAATATTTTCAGTATCATCTTTGAGATAATCATACAGCTTTTCTCCATTACTCTGCAATAATAGATTTTCTAATGGAGAATCATCTTTACAGTCCTGGTATGTCTTATTTTTTCAATACATGTGCTGTGTGTTTAATTTTGGATTTTTGCATATGTACCTAAGTTGGAATGGTTTATGGTTTCTTTTTCTGTCCTTGTCTAGTTTTGATATCAAGTTGTGCTAGGACTCAAAGTGAGTAAGACAGATTAACTTCTTTTTATATGACCTAGAATACACATAGCATGTGTGAATGCTACATTCCTTAGGTTTTGAGGAACTCATCTTTAAAGCCATCTAGATGTAGTACCTTTTAAGGGGTAGTTTCTTTTTTTAAAATATAGCATCCATGGTTATGATATTTAGCATTTTTTTTGTTTCTTGAGACATTTAAAAAAATTTTTTCTAGAAAAGCATTTCATCTATATTTTCTAACTTTATTCATTCTCTCTTTTTTTTGTTTTTGGTCAGGGTCTCTGTCCGCCAGACTGGTTTGCAGTGGCATGATCACAGCTCACTGCAGTCTCAAACTCTTGGGCTCAAACTATCCTCCTGCTTCGGCCTCCCAAATAGCTGGGACTCCAGGTACATGTCACCACATCTGGCTAATTTTTGTATTTTTTTGTGGAGATGAGGCTTTGCTATGTTGCCTATGTTGGTTTCTAACCTCACTCAGTCTTTCCATTTTGGCCTTCCAAAGTGCTGGGATTACAGGTAAGAGCCACCACACTTGGCCTTGTTCTCATATATTTAATTGGAGTCGTTTTTTCATTTTCTTGATCAGACTTATCGAACTAGCTTTTGGTGGTATTGATAAGCTCTGTCTTAAGAGTTATTTATCTTTCATTAATGTATGCTTTCATTAATTTCTTCTTATTTCTTTGGCTTTGTTTTGTTGTTCTTTTTATAATTCTCGAGTTGAAAGCTGAACTTAAAATGTTTAATATGAAATACTACAAGCATGTGTATATACAGAGAATAATATAATGAACACCTTAGCTGGGTGTGGTGGTGCATGCCTGTGGTCTCACACACACACACACACACACACACCCACCAAAGAATACCTGTGCACCGATCACCTGCCTTTATGTTTTAACATTTCCCATATTTGCTTAAGATTTTTATATTTGGTTAGCACTCCTTGTGAACCTTTCTGCAATCTCATTCTCCCTCTCTTCCTACCCAAAGTTAATTATTCCCCTAAATTTGGTGTGTCATTCCCACAATGCTTTTATCCATTCTAAATGTATATGTAGCAATAAAAGTAACATACGTAGTATCGTTTTGTTTTGGATTTTTTGAGTTGGAGTCTCACTCAGTTGTCCAGGCTGGAGTGCAGTGGCACGCTCACTGCCACCACAGCCTTGACCTGATGGGCTCAGATGATCCTTTTGCTTCAGCCTTCCAAGTAGCTGGAACTAGATGCATGTGGCACCGTGCCCAACTAATTTTTGATTTATTGTAAGGTGAGGTCTCTCCAAGTTGCTCAGGCTGGTCTCGAATCCGTGGGCTCAGGCAGTGAGCCACCGCGCCCGGCCTGTAGTATTGTTTTGTATGTTCCTAAGCCTAATGAAAATTATATGCTGTAATTTGCTTTTGTCACCTATAGCATTCTATTGTATGACTGTACCACAATTTATCCATTCTCCAGTTGCCAGTAATTTAATGATTCCTGCCTGATTTTTGCCATTACAACGTGAGTTAATGGATGTTCTTGCACGCAGCTTCTTAGACGTATGGTAAGAATTTCTTTAGGGTATATGCCTGGAAATGGAGTTGTAAAGTGGGAGGGTTTGCACAATTCAACTTGATTTTATATGGTGAATTGTTCTTTAGTGCTTCTACTGGCTTATCCTTCCACCAGCTGTGTAGAAGAGAGTTGCTGTTGCTCCAGATTTGTGCAACACAGGTTTGTTTTTTTTTCCACCAACTTTTTTGCTATTACAAACAGTGCTGATAGTAAATTTTCTTGTACATGTCTCCTGGTACACACGTGCAAGAGTTTCTCTGAATATATAGGTAGTGGTGACAAGTTATTTGTTCTGTTTTGCTTTAGATGTGTTTTTTAAAAGAGTATATATTCCTCCCTCCCCTCATTTGAGATTTCTTTTCAGTAGTAAAATTTAACTCATTCATAAATGTGTCTAACTTGTTTTTTTCTATGTATAATGCTTCCTGATGTTCTCTTTTCTGCCTTTGGTTTGGTGAGGTTTCTTTTTCTGGTTTTTTCCCCTTTAGTGGTTTGAAAGTTACATATTTGATTTTTATTCTAGTGGCTACTCTTCTTACTCATTTAAGTGTATATCTTTGCGTATTTGTGTAGAATTAATCAGTATCCATAGGAGGCAGTCTGTATAGTGGTTAAAAGTAGACCCTCTGAGGCCAGACTGCCTAGATTCAAATCCCAGCACTATTATTTATTAGCTGAGTAACTTGGAGCTTATTACATAAACTCTGTAGCTCAGCTGCTGCATTTGTAAAGAGGGGATAAACAGCAAATACCTCATAAGGTTGTTGAGATCATTGTGTTAATATATATGACATTCTTAGGACAGTGCCTAGTACTTGGATCTCTTTGATCACCAGTTTTTTTCATCTGTGAAATGGGCATAAGATCTGCCTAGCAGAGTTGTTATAATGATTTAGCGTATTATTGTATACAATCAGTTTAAGACACTGTTTGAGCCCTTGCTATGCCCTAAAATTAGACAGTTCTTGGCTTCAGTGATCTAATAAGGGAACAGACTTGTAAATTCAATTTCAGTATGATATAACCTTAATACTCTTCCCATGTTCTCTACAAGATTTGTGTGTGTATGTGTGTGTGTGTGTGTGTTGGAGTCTCACTCTGTCACACGTCTCGATCAGCTGGACTCAGGCGATCCTTCTGCCTCAGCCTTCCAAGTAGCTGGAACCACAGGTGCCTACCACCACGCCTGGCTAATTTCTTCATTTACTGTAGAGACCAAGTCTTGCCAAGTTGCCCAGGCTGGTCTTGAACCCCAGGGCTCAGGCAGTCCTCTAGCCTCAGCTTCCCAAAGTGTTGGGATAACAGGCTTGAGCCACTGCTTCTGGCACATGTTCACTTTCATTATACTTTACACAAACGGTACACTCCTTACCATGACCTCAGCACTACAGATCCCGAGCCCTGCCTTCCTTTCTGACCTCGCCAGCCCCTCTTTTACTGAACTCCCACCACAACTGCCTCTTCTCTGTTTCTTGAGCCAGCTCTCTTAAGTGCCCTCTTCCCAGCATTCTGATCCATCCCACCAGCTCTTTGCATGATTTACTCATCTTTCAGATCTCAGCTTGATTCAGTTTTTTTTTTTTTTGTTTTTTTTTTTTTTTGAGGCAGGGTCTCACTCTGTCACCTAGAATGGAGTGTAGTGGCACTATCACTGCTCACCACAGCCTTGACCTCCTGGGCTCAACTGAGCCTTCCACCTCAGCCTCCCGAGTAGCTGGGACTACAGGTAGGCACTGCCACGCCCAGCTAATTTTTAAATTTTTTTGTAGAGAGATCTCACTATGTTGCCCAGGCTGGTCTTGAACTGGGCTCAAATGATCTTCCTGCCTCAGCCTCCCAAAGTGCTGGGATTACAGGCTTGAGCCACTGTGCCTCAGGTTCAGAAAGAAAGGGATTTATTAACATTATGTTGTTCACAGAATATTCAGGACAGCCAGAGGCCAAATGTGGATGCTGCAGTACCCAAACACACTAAAGGATCTAGTGATAATCCATTGCTGCTGCCACCATTTGACACCAAAACTGCAACTTCCATAAACACTGATGGGCCCCAGCAGGCAGACATGTTTCCTTCCCTTTTTCTGAGTTGGAGTCTCACTCTGTCGCCCAGGCTGGAGTGTAGTGGCATGCTCATGGCCACCGCAGCCTGGGCTCAGGTGATCCTTCCGCCTCAGCCTTCCAAGTAGCTGAACTACAGGCACGTGCCACCATGTCCGGCTAATATTTTGATTTATTGTAGAGATGAGGTCTCGCCAAGTTGCCCAGGATGGTCTTGAACCCATAATCTCAGGCAGTCCTCTCACGTGGGGCCTCTCAAAGTGCTGGGATTATAGGCATGAGCCACTACGCCCAGCCACATTTCTTTCTTTATCTTGCTCACTTTCAATTTGAAATTTTGCATTGGCTATGTCTATTTGATAGGGCCTAGGTCACATGTCTGTGCTGCAAGGGGGTCAAGAAGGTAAGTTTTCTTATACGAAATTTTTCAGACATAAGGATGATGGACATTCAGAAAACATGTCCCTGAACATTGGATGTTGTGTTACCTCAGCATAAAGACCTTCTCTAACAACCTCAAGTATATTCTTCCTGCCCCAGCCTCATTATTCTTTTACTATAATCTGTCTTTTTCTTCGAGGCGCTTATCACTAGTTGTATTGTTATATACCTAATTTGTTCAAATGCCTTATAAATTCCAGAGCCACACTGTCTATGTGTGGAGTTTCAAACAGCCAGAAATAGTTTTAAAATGGTTTTAGTCTTCAGCATAGGTCTCTTGAAAGAAAAAAGCACCAAAGAGGTTCCAAGTCACAATTTCTAGCAGTTCCCATAGTTTCATACTCCTCTTCTCTAATTCTCCCCAGTCTTTATGTGGATCTGTTCAGCTTTCTTCATAAACTGTACTCCTAGGACTCTCCTTTTGAATCTTTTTCTGCCTGTTCTCTTATTTTGCATCACAAACATCCACAACAGGTCTGAGAGATACATTTTCTTAAGGCATAGGGGAGAGAAGTTGAGAGGCAAAGTTTTTGTCAGATTTAGGAGGCTGGAAACATTTACACACTGATCATTTTCTTTACCACTTGTCAACCTACAGCTCATACATTTGAGGAGGACAGGAACAATATCTGTTGTTTGTAACTTGCACAGAATCGTGACAATATATATTCAATTAACATTTCATTTTCTGGAAAAAAGAAAAGTCCGGCAGTTGAGGTATGGGCAAGGAAGTACACAGCACAGAGCGAGGACTGTTGGCCTAGTGAGGGATGAGAGGTGGGGGTGGGGCATGCAGCATAAGGGCTAGTCTGGAAAGGCATTCCAGAGGTCATGAGGCCAAAGCAGAATCTTGCAGGGCAAAAGTTCTCCAGACCAAGGAGGAGGTGAGGATAGAGAAGAAGATTCCAGGTAGACATGTAGCACAAACTCAGACAAGTGTCAGACAGTTTCGTGTGGTACTGCTGAATGCAAAGTAGGAGAAATGTCAGGAGGCGAGGCTAGAAGGACAGAGGTGGGCATGGAGAAGGGCCTTGTATGCCACTCCATGAGGGCTGGGCTTTATCCTGTGTGTAATGGAGCCACAATGTAGACAAGGTGGGGAGTCATATTCAGATTTTCATTTTACAGAGACCACCAGGTGACTGGAGGTTGGAAAGAGGGAAAACTAAAAATAGGGAAAACAGTTGTGAGTTAAAAAAATAATGTAGGCCTGGAATAGCACAGTATTATGCAGCAGGGGTAACAGTAGGAATAACTCAAAGAAATTATTTGGAGGTCAAATTGGCAGTCCTGGGTGGGTGCTTGGTTGGGGAAGGTGAGGGAGAAATCTAGAATAGTGTCCAAACTTTTGGCTTGGATTGACATCTGATGTCATTAACTGAGTAGAAGTTGAAAGAGTAAAAGGTTGGCAGTGTGGAGTGTTCAGCTCATTATGGTAAAGTGGACTTCAAAGTTCCCATGAGGCTCATAAGCTTAGATGTTCACCAGGTACTTGGATATGAGTCTGCAGCTTAAGGCAAAGTCCAGTTATACAGACTTAAGGAGAGAACAGTATGGGGTGATAACGAGTTCAAGAGTTGGCTGTGGGGTGCGCTCAGAGCAACTGCTCTTCCCAGGCTGGCATCTGGCCCTGTTGATGTTCTTTTCCCCTCCCACCTCCTTTGGTCTTTCTTGTACCTCTGACCATTCCTTCTCCAAATGTTTTTCAGGCTCTTCTTCCGCCATAAAACGTGTTCCTAGGGACCACCTAGGGCCCCTACTGTGTGTCCATCGAACCTTGATCTCCAGCTCAGAATTCTTATATGAGAGTGAGACCTATGTCTCTAGCCGTTTTCTAAGAACAGTTAGTAGTGTGGACTGATTGTTCTGGGACCATGTGAAGGCTTTGTGCCTCGCTGTCCTATTCACTTGTATTCAGGACTGGCACTATGAGTTGAACCTGGCTGTGACTATCTCTTGCTTCTCTGAAAATGCCAAATTTGCTGATCAGGAATCAGATTTCAGACCTGTTAATATGCGTTAATGTGTATCTCCACCTCCCCACCCTACTGTAATCCTTATATACCTTTCTCAATGACATGGACTCCCCCTTTTTATTTAGCATATTATCTTTTCATCAGGAACCAACATTAGACCAAAATGGAAATACAAATTTAAATCTTATTGACACAGAATAAAAAAGGAAAAACAGTTACATGGATCCACTTCTTATAAAACAAAAGTCACACTCTTATTTCATGAAAAAGGAGTGCTTTTTACTCTAAAATTCATTGATTCCTTGTTTGGTGATCAGTTAATCACTATCTCCATGATGACCATGATGAAAGAACTCTGAACTGCTAGGCAAACCAGGCTGTGACACACTTAATATGCACAAAAGTTGGTTAAAACACAAAACCAGTATTTTGACAAATTTCAGCTTAAGATGTTTTTCACATCAACCACTTAAAACTAGTTACAACAAAATGATCCTCCATTCCTGAGGAACACAAAGAGTGACCTTGTACATGATTAGAAACATTGAAGACAAACATGCAGAACCACCTGGGTCTGACCATACAGGCTAGAAAAATGCTTCCTGAGTTTGCCTGGAGGTGATGTGTTGATTATCAACTGTACCAGAGTTCACCAGCAGCAATGGTGTAATTCTGTAGCATATTCCTATTAGGTCCCTATTTCTTTGGGATGATTAATCCTTGGGATGATTCCTGCAATATGAGTCTTTAACGTCTTGAAAACTCCACAGAAAAGAAGCCACTCCTACAAATCATGCTTCTTCTATTAGGTTAACTGTTCAGAAATTGTGTGGTACATGGTTATCACCCAAGTGAGCTACTCTATGGGGCCTTCAGCCCATACTTGTCTTTGCATGCTCAGAGGGGAGCCAGCCCACAAATGGGCAATGGTAAGTGGCATAACAATGCAAAAGGGCTCAGGAAAACGTGTTTTTTTTTTGTTTTTTTTTTAAGTTCAGGCTTATCAAGAGTCATAAGGACTCATCTCAATTGTATATATATCTTCAGACCCATAAGAACATGATCATTTCTGTTCTTTACAAAGTACTGAGACTCTGACAAGAAACTTCACAAGCTTATACAAAGGCCCATTTTCATGCCAATTTACGCATTCAGAAGTTCTCAAAGGAGACACTGTTTTTTAGCGATCAGTTTTGGATGGAAGTACTTCTGTCACCCACAGGAAATTGTAATGGTTTTCTCCCTAAGTTGTAAATTCCTTTTATACATTTATGACATTTTCTATATCATATACTAAATTCTGCTCATCCTCACATTAATTTACTATTACTACCCAGGGACCATCAAACTATCTTGTGTACACATATATAAGTTTGTGTGTGCGTGTGAAGTTTGGTTGAATTTATGAAACTGCTAATATGTGACCATTTTTGACCTATGAAAATAGTTTTTTCACTTGGTTGAACCTAATGAAATCTGAACTTTGCTGGCTGACTGCAGATATCGCCTTATATGTTACTCTGTAGCACCTTCTGCTTTATTCCAGCAGGGGGAATGAAAATGCTTACCCCATTTACCAATTCTTATGCAGCCTTACAAAATTGTGCTTGCAAACTGCTGGTGAATTTCATGAAAATATTTCCAGGTGTAGTCATTTCCACAAATCTAGTATCTCACCGAAAAAAATCTGGTCCAAACTGAGCATACTATAGTGTCTTTGTAACTACATCACCCAAGTGGAACAGCCTACCTTCTAAAAGATGGCTTTTGCAGGCTTAAGGTCAGGTCTAGAATGAACAGGACAAACAATAAAATACCAAGGCATTTTCAATTGGGAATTCTGGTATCTCTATGTGTTCAATAACATCCACATTCTAGAATGATTGAGACACACTGTACTAAGCACCAGTAAAGGAGATAAGGTCCACATCTTGCTTTTTTTAAATTTGATTTGGAGTCTCACTCTGTCACCCAGGCTGGAGTGCAGTGGCATGCTCACAGCCACTGCAGCCTTGACATGCTGGGCTCAGGTGATCCTTCCACCTCAGCCTTCCAAGTAGCTGGAACTATGGGCATGCGTCACCACGCCAGGCTAACTTTTTGATTTATTGTAGAGATGAAGTTTTGCCAAGTTGCCCAGGCTGATCTTGAACCTGTGGGCTTAGGCAATCCTCTCACCTTGGCCTCCCAAAGTGCTGGGATTATAGGCATGAACCACCATGCCTGGCCAGACCTTGCTTGCAAGAAACTTACCATCTTTCATGAGATATAAAAATATAAATAACGAGAGGATTTTCTAGGACTTTTAAGTTTCAAACTGTGACAATAAGATGTAAAAAAAGGACAGCACTTCAAATTTGTAAACTGACTTCAAAAATTAAAGGCAAAGAGCCAAATACAAATGTGCATTGAGCCTACGTCCAAGTCAGTATGATAAATGTGTTCTCCATGGTTCTGGACCCCAAAAAATCCTTTTAACACACCAGTGATTAGAGATCCTCCAGGTCAGTTAGATCCACAGCTACTTTCAAGAACAGGGTGTCATCTTTTATGTAGGTGTTCTTGGCATTCTCCAAAATGGAATGAGCCACAAAGCGAGGACAGCCAGATGCAATGTTCATTTCCCCATCAGGTCTTTTAAAGCTGCTGCTATTAGGGTCAGCCTTGAAGGTCTCCACAATGTGGTTCTTTTTGCCACTCTGATCGAAAAGCGTCAGGGTCACCCTCTGCCTGAACGGCCACTGCAACAGTGAGTCAAACTCTCCTCGCATTACCACAATGTACAGGGATAGGTGTGTCCCCTTCCCGGATCCGTCCCCATTCAGGTATGCTCTAGCACAGAGCCGGTAGCCACAGCGGCTGGTATAGAAGGACTGGCTGAAGATGGACACTGTGTGCCCATCCACCGCCTCCCTCTTCCTCATCTTGTAATCTGTCACCTTCCAAATGAGCTTTCCATTATAGCAGGCACCCTCTAGCAGTTTAAATCGCTCTTCATTTTTATTCAGCTGTGCTTTATGAATATTAATATAGGCATCATGTTTGTTTGTCTCTCCTTCTAAAACAACTGCAAAGAAAAAAAAAAAGATTCCATAGGCCTGGAAGTTGTCTTTAGAGTTTGCCAAAGTAGAATTTTGTTACTTGACGATAACCAATAAAATTTTGACATCTTAAAGATGAACTGAATTCAATGTCTACAAATGGACCATGTATATTAATAACATTAACTCAGGGAATATCATGTCTTGGCAAACTGGCGCCAAGAAAACCCGATATGTACTCTTAAACTGAAGCTCGCTGAAGTGTAGAGAAGACACACTAAGCATTCAACCAGCATGCAATTGCATGGTGAGCCCCATGCCTTTCCAACTAGAATGATTTTAAATAACCAAACTCTTTTATATTTTTCCATACCTAAAACAATGATCCCACCATATCTCTCTCAGCTTTCTCATTATTTTCTGCTTTCCTTAAAAATCATTACTCATTCTTCTTGGAATTTCCTGGCCCTTTTCCATCTCTAGCTTGTTTCTAGCCCCTTCCTCCCTTCTCATGGCCCTCCTTCATTTTTGCCTGACTGGCCAGAGTCTCATGCGGCTCTTTCACAAATAACAGTTTCAACCATTGTTTATCCTAGAGAGATGTGACTCTCTATTTGACTAGTTGTTTGGTTGTTTCACAAATACCTGAGGACCAACAAGTCACCAAAAAAGAAGTAAAATATTAGACATACCTAATCTTTGTTCATTGTTTTCTAGCAGAGTAATTTTCTGTTTCACTGTATCAATCGCTTCCACCAAAGGCCTCAGATCAAATTGATTTTGTTGCTGGGTAACCATTTGTAATAAATGACACACTTGAGCTTCTAGCCAAGCAGACTTGTCAATGTGACTGGCAAGAACCTTTCATTACAAAATGGATCATAATGTTTAAAAAAAAAGTTAATATTTTAGCAATTCATTCATATTAAAATTTTCAATTCAAACATTTCACATTTAGTTAATTAATGTAACAAAAAATACAAGTCCAGAAGAGAAAATTCAAGCGGGGAATCACAAAAAGATGAGCCATCTAGTTATCATCCCCCTCCCCTCCTATCACAGCTTCTGTTCTAAATGTTTGAACTTCTCCAATTATTACTCCTTCTTCCATTTCTCTCTACTTGGTTCTTTTTTCTTTTTTGAGTTGAAGTCTCACTCTGTTGCCCAGACTGGAGTGCAGTGGCACACTCCCAGCCACCGCAGCCTCGACCTGCTGGGCTCTGGTGATCCTTCCACCTCAGCCTTCCAAGTAGCTGGAACTACAGGCGTGTGCTACCACGCCCAGCTAGTTTTTTTTTTTTTTCGATTTATTGTCGAGATGAGGTCTCACCAAGTTGCCCAGGCGGGTCTCGAACCCGTGGGCTCAGGAAATCCACTCACCTCAGCCTCCCAAAGCGTGGGATTACAGGCTGAGCCACCGAGCCCATCTTCCACTTGGTTCTTTAACTCATCTTTATGTATCTATTTTTCATGTCTCTCTTCCTGCCTCTCTTTCTTCAGAGAAACTACTCTCCAAATTCACTCTTGCTCTGCGAAGGCAGAGAATGAGCTGGGACAGGCCCACCTGTTCTGACCTGAGCACTATAGGTGTGCAGAAGACCCTGAGGAAGGCCTAAAATTTTAATTACTCTCTTAGATGGAAGAGGTTTAATAAAACTACTCCACCCTTGCCCTACATGCCTTAATTATGATTGGTCAGTCTTTGTATTAGAAAAAAGGTCAGAACTGAGATAGTAATTAATGAATTTCTTTTTTTTCTGGACACATACATACATATACATACAAATATCTGTATATGCAGATGTTCCCTGACTTATATGGTTCAACTTATGTTTTTGGCTTTGCAATGGTGCTAAAGAGCTACACGTTCAGTAGAAACCATACTTCAAGTATCCATACAACCATTTTGTTTTTCACTTTCAGGAAATTATTCAATAAATTATATGAGCTATACAACACTTTATTATAAAACAGGCTTTATGTTAAATGATTCTGCCCAATTGTGGGCTAATATAAGTGTTCTAAGCACTTTCAGGGTAGGCTAGACTAAGCTGTGATATTTAGTAGATTAAACATTAAATGCATTTTTAACTGTGCAAACTGCTTGAACTCCTTTTCAAATTTCTGTACAGTTTTTGCTAGCTGCTGGATTTTACTTTCTGTTCTAGGCTCTTATATAAGTCTGAAATCTAATAACAGGAATATGGATGAGGGGGAAAAAATGAGGTCATTGAAATGCATGCATATAAGTTAAGTACTTGTTGGAAAGAAAGTTTCTAGGGAAAAAAATACAGATATATATTTCTAGGAAGATATTTTTGGGTAGATTCCTATATGATGGAACTTATGATGAGTTTATTAGGACATAGCTCCATTGTAAGTCAAGGAGCATCTGTACATATATATGTATATACATGCACATACATACATATAAATTATGTGTTATGTGTGTATATATACACAAATGCGTATGCATATATGTACGCATATATATACATACATAATTTGTTGACAAAATATAGATATTATATGACCTAGATTTTCTGGAATAATCCAAATTTCAAATATATTCCCCACACGATATGTCTTGAAATCTTTTTTAATATAAATTTAATAAACATGATAAATATGTTATGCATTAGGAATTCATTTATGATTATTTAACATTCATAATTTACAAAGGGTTTTTTTGCTATATTTTAGTGACATTTAAAGTATTTTCTTCCCAAATGAATTAATAGTTTCAGTTTGTTGACAACAAAATATAGGCATGCTCTGAAATCAAGTGATTAATATTGGCCCAACATTAATTAAAACCCTAACTGCCATAAATTATATAAAGGTATTTTAACAATGTTAATTTACTGACATTGCTAAATGTAATGGGGTCATGTAAAATAAGATTTTTTTTTTTTTTTAAATAGAGACAAGCCCTCACTATGTTGCTCAGGCTGGTGTCAAACTCCTGGGCTCAAGCAATCCCCTCACCTTGGCCTCTCAAAGTATTGGGATTATAGGCATGAGCCACCACACCGGGCCTGAGGTCTTTATTCTTAGAAAATACATACTGAAGTGTATAGAGGTAATAGGCCATGATATATGCATTGTACTCTCAAATGGTTCAGACAACACACACAGAGGTCAGGGGCGGGGGGAGTGGAGAGAGCACAGATGCATCTATATACAGATGTTCTTTGCACTGTCTTATTCTTACAGCTGTTCTGTATACTTGAAATTATTTTCACTTAAAAAGTTAAAAACACTTGCTGCCAATTGAAAGCCAAGCCTTGGCTTTGAATGGAAAGGCTGTTGCTCACCTGGATATTTGAGAGGACGTTTCCATTTTTGCCAAACAACTGTGAAAACTGCTTGAACTCCTTTTCGAATTTCTCTACAGTTTCTGCTAGCTGCTGGATTTTACTTTCTTTCTGTTCTAGGTGCTTATGTAAGTCTGAAATCTAATAACAGTATGTAAATTAGGAAAAATGAGGTCATTGAAAGGCATGCATGTAAGTTAAAATAGAACTTGCAGATAAGAAAGTGTTTCTGGGGAAAATATCTGAAGGGGACCCCCAAAATGGAATTTATTTATAAAAAGTTGTTTGTTTATTCTTATAGGTTTAAACTTCAGTCACCTTCAAAGGACTCTTCGTTTGATGCAATATACCTACCGAGATACTTTTTCCACTGCTCAAAACGTTTTGAGCTCCTCAACTTTAATGCCTTTTAGTGCTTCTGCCGTTTTTGGTTTCACTGCTTCCACATGGGCAAAACGTTTCCCTTTGAGGACTTTTGTCATCAGGGAACCACAAAAAAGTTAGCCAGGGCTGAGATCAGGTGAATAGGGAGGGCGAGGCATGGGGGTCATGCCATTCTGGGTCAAAGACTGTTGAACACTCAGCATGGTGTGGGAGATCTGTTGTCATGGTGGAAGAACCAGTCACGTGTTTGCCACAACTCAGGATGTTTCTTCCACAAATGTGGTGCCATCTTCTCAAAACCACCAGATAAAAACTTAGTTTGGCTTTTGATCTGAAGGAACAAATTCCAGTGTACTACAAGGAGCCCACCTTCCAAAAGCTAATACCGTTTTTTCAGGGGCCTCCCTTCATACATATATACTTCTAGGAAGACATTTTCAGGTAGATTCCTATGTAATTCTAGGAAAATCTTTGCAGGTGGTTCCAAAAAAGCAGCTCCACAGAATTCTTCCTCAGCCTTTCCTATACCTCACCCACTACAATAGTTCATTTAATGATATTACTTGACTGAATTTACCAAACTGGTTCTCTTCATTCATTCAATATGCACTTATTAAATAACCATGAAAGTCAGGCATGGTGGTGCACACCTGCAGTCCCAGCTACTTGAGAGGCCGAGGTGGGAGGATTGCTTGAGCCCAAGAGTTTAAGTCCAGACTGGGCAACATAGCTAGACCCCATTTTTAATTTTTTTTAAATTTATTTTTATTTAAAAAATTTTTTTAATTTTAAAGAGGTGGGGTATAATTCAGGGTTAGATATACAAGTGTTCATTATACAGGTACCCTTGTTGATAAGTGTGCGCCCCTCCCCCGGCAGATTCCCACTACTGCCATCCCATCTCCCCTCTCCCACCCCCCAGCAGTTTCCTGCTACTGCCAATCCTTTTCTTATAGTAGCACAATAAATGTTCAAGTAAACCCCATCTTTTAAAACAAAACAAAACAAAAAACTAAAGAGCACTGATCATCACATCAAGCTAAATGTTACATGCACAGTATCAATAGTAATAACAGAAATTTGCTGAACGTCTATTATGCCCTCCATCATTGACTCTTTTAATTATCAAAGAAACATGAGTCAGATATGAGTATTAGTCCCATTTTTCAGATGAGGAAACAGTCTAAGTAACCTGTCTAGTATACAAACTAACAAGTGGTAGGCAGAACACATGGGCAGCATGTTTATTCTGAGTCTGTAATCTATCTGTTATCTAAATTGTTTTCTGGAAACAACCAGAAAACTAAAGCTGATCCTAGACAATTCTTCTCTTACTCCTGTAGTCTGCAACACTTGCCAACTTTAATTGCTAACCTATAAAATACAAAAAATTCTTGTGTCCGTTTTCACTTTATTTTGTCTTTTCAGTACTAGTTTTGGCCCTCTTTATTTCTCACTTGGGCTGCTACAACTTCCTAACAAGTCCTATGCTGTCCGTGCTATCCTAGACACACACCACAGTGGAAGCTCTGTGGGAGCAGGGACTGGCATGGATCTCACAGTCCACTATAACCCCAGCAGTGGGCAAGTGCCTGGCACAAGCTGGTGCTTGATAAATATCTGTTAAATGAATGGATGGCATGAATGCTCCCTCTGCTTTTAGTCTTATTCTCTTCCAATTTGTCTCCATACTGTAACAAGAATAGTATTAAGGACAAATCTGGTCTTGAGCTTCTCCTGTTGAAACAACTCTAGTCGCTTTCTCTTACAGTGGGCCCTACGTGATCCGCCCAGGCTACCCTTTCAGCCTCATGACTGTTCACATCCCACATGCATCCTGTCCATCAAGACTACACAACTCCTACTTCCCATCAGGCCCTGCTCCCTCAGACACGTCTCTCTTCATCTAGAAACGACCACTTTTTTAGCCTCCACTCAAGGGCGTATCTTCTAGGAAATAGTTCCTTACTAGCACCACCCAACCGGAACACCTCTCAAGTTGCAAGACACCCTGTCCATACTCTAGTGTATAACTTATCCTTATCACTCTTATAACTTGCTTTTTTTGTTGTTGTTTTGGTCTCTTTTTCTTCTTTTTCTTCACTAAGTTGTCTCTTGAGATTATGTCACACTGATTTCTTTACCCCCAGAGCCCAGCATAGTGCCTGGCACACAGAGGGCATTTGCTAAATGTTTTATCAATGAATGCACAGATGGCTGGGACAACCATTTGATCTCTGACCCAGAGTCTTCTACTTAGATCCACAAACACACTTGACCAGAAGCAAATCCAGTGTCTCCTCTCCCCACCCTCACTCCCTGTTCTCATAGTGCCCATCTCAGTTAATCACATTACCATGTTCCCTACCTTTCCAACTTATAGCATGTCAGTTCAACCTCAGAATGTCTTTTGATGCCCTCTCTCCAGCCCACTGACATGGCCTTGGTTGACCCTTCAACATCACCACCATTCACTCCAGCATCTTGCTTATGCCTAATATTGAAATGCTTATTATGTGCCAGGTACTGTGCTAAGAGCTAAAATGTATTATCTCATTTTAACCTCACCCAACCTCATTTACAAATGAGGAACTTGAGGAAGAGAGAGGTGAAGTAGCTTGCTCAAACTCCTATCTGGCTTCAGAGCTTTCACTCTTATCAATTGCCATGCTGTTACCAGCTGTCTTACAAACAAACATTAGCTAGCCAAGTATTTTGAAGTGAAAAGACCTCCATTAGCTTCCTATTACTGACAAACATCAGTTCAAACTTCTGGCCCATAAAAACTTTCTGAAACAAGCAGAGTATGAATGAATACAAACTAATTGAACGCACAATTTTCAAAGCTCTTAACTTACACAGAAGGCCACTGAAACCTGGATCCAACACACCAGTTTCACTGGTAGTCCATTCACCCTAAGATCCCACTTCCTTGATCCATCAGCATTCTCATGCCTCCCTACCTTGGCACAAGCTTTCCCTTCCATAACATTGTAACTCATAAATCTTTCTTCCTTCAAGATGCTGCTTGGATGTTCTACCTTGAAAAGTCTTCCCCTCCCTCAGAGTAAACGGCTGCAGCCTCTGTACCTCAGACCAAATTACAGCACAGCAACCTGCTTACATTTCTATGAGTTCTTCAAGGGTAGAGGACATGTCTTCCTTGACTCAGTGTTTCTAGCAGCAGACATTGTACCTGACATATAGTAGGTGCTTCTTGAATGAATGGATGGATGGATGACTGAGGCTACTGATAGAGAAAAAACTTAAGAATGGTTACTGGCCAGCATGCCTTCTACCAAAGTTACTGTTTAATCAGTCTTTCTAATTTTCTCCTGGATCTGACCCTGGAACTCGCATACCTGCTTCAGTATGGAATTAGACTTCACAAAATAATCTGCAGTAGTAAAATTCAGCTCCTTCTCTGAAGATCGATAGTTTTCTTCCCTGTGTGGGTTTGAAATTTTTGATCTTCTGAGATGTTCTAAGAAAATAATTAACCTTCATAATAACTGTTCAGCAGAACCAGTATTTATTGAGATTACTATGAATGCCACAGGCACTATGGCAGGCATTTGTATACATTATTTCACTTGACAATAACAACTTGGTGGAATAAGGATGTATATATGCATTTATCAGGTTGTAAAGCTTCTCCAAGGCAGGAGTTTAGACTTACTACAAAATTTATAAAACCCATAGTGCCTACAACAGAGTCAATTTGTTTTATGGTAACATTAACTTAATTTTAAAACATTAAACACCTAGTAGATGCCAGGTACTAACCCAAGGTGTGTAGACAGGCTGTTGAGAGGCAGTTTTGATATACCAAGGGGACCACCTCTAGAATCAGAGAACATGGGTTTGAGATTGAATTCTGCCACTTACAAGTTAAATCATATCAAAATTTCCTTAAGTTTAGTTACTTCGTCTATTGAATGAGGGGGTGGGACCCAAAGATCTCAAAGGCACCTTCCAATTCTAATGTTCTATAATCCCATGAACCTTTTAAGTCACCTAGTAGAACAATATCTATCCAGTTGACTCATACTGAAACAGAAAAGAATATAAAAATACTAGCATAGAGCGGGCAAATCCCAGCAATTCTGTTCCCTCCCTTCATATTTGAACCTGTGACGATTTACCTTTTCCTCTAATTGGACGTTCTTTTCTAAAACCAAAAGCATGTGGTCCCGCAAAGCTGAATGCTCGTGTTCCTGCAGGTTCCCCCGCTTATCCTTCAATATGAAGAGAAAAATAAGGTTGTTGAGAAACTCAAAAATGAGAGAGGTGGTGAGATACTCTGATAAAGGAGAATCTTCACAATGTACCTTACTTTCATAGTTTTAAGTGTGTACTTGTTTCTAGGTGGGTTGCAGGAAAAAATGACGGCACCAGGTCCCTTTTCCAGCTTTAGGATTCTGTAGTACCCATGAGACAATATTAAAGTTATAGAGACAGAGACTCAAGTCACTATCACAATTCTCAGTGCTGATTTCCTTTCTTGCCCTGGAAGCATATGACTGTGGGTTAAGTGAAATTATTGTCATCTTTCAACTATTCCCATGTAAAACCTAGCCCCCCTTGTTGGGTTCTCTCTAGTTTTTGTTGTTGTTTTTTTGTTTTTGAGTTGGAGTCTCACTCTGTCACCCAGGCTAGAGTACAGTGGCATACTCACAGTCACCCCAGCATCAACCTGCTGGGCTCCAGCATTCCTTCCGCCTCTGTCTCAGCCTTCCGAGTAGCCAGAACTACAGGTGCTCGCTACCACGTCTGGCTAATTTTTTTTTAATTTAGCGTAGCAACAAGGTCTCACCAAGTTGCCTGGGCTGGTCTCGAACCCATGGGCTCAGGCAATCCACTCTCCTCAGCCTCCCAAAGTGCTGGGATTACAGGCCGAGCCACTGAGCCTAGCCCAGATCAGTTTTAAGCCAAGACTAGTTCTCCCTCCTATGCTACCTGCTCCCATCACTGCTCTACTGTCACGGGCAGAAGGTATGCCACCTGATTTTAATTTCAGCCCGTGCAAGTTTGTTGCCCTCAAAATCACAGAATACATTAGCCAGAGGAAATGGTTGCTTTCCCCCGTTATTAAAATATTTATTTGCAAACAGCCTATATTACTAGTAAAAGCAAATGTTAGGTGTTTCAGGTAATCCATGCAATCTAAGAAAACATTTATCATCAACTCCCTTCAGCTTAGGGTTGGCCCCTTTGGTGACCATCCATCCCAAATAAGGGTCCAGAGAATAACTGCCCCAGCCATTGCAAGCTCTGAAACTGAGATAAGTTCTAGAATACAAGTCAACTGGAGGTCTGGGCCTAACTATAAAAATCCTTCTCAGAGCTAGGAAACATACATACTGCATTTTATGCACTAGAAAGGTTAACCTATCCTTTTTCTTTTCTTTTTTTAAGTATACAGTGATTACATACATACACATACACAAAGATGTTAATTATAGTATTGTTTGGATAGCCAAAAAAACCCCAAACTAAAAACAACCTATAAGTCCATCATTAAAATATCATCTCTATAATTATAATAATTTTTTTAAAAAAGCTCTTTCTCTGTCGCATAGGCTGGAGTGCAGTGGCGAGGTCTTAGCTTACTGTAATCTCAAACTCCTAGGCTCCAGGAATCTTCCTGCTTCAGTTTCTTGAATAGCTAGGACCACAGACAAGTGCCACTACACCCAGCTGATTTTTAAATTTTTTTTAGCTTTTAATTTTTTAATTTTAAAGATGTGGGGTACAATTCAGGGAATTTTTTAAAAAAAATGTTTTATTTTGTAGAGACATGGTCTTACTATGTTGCCCAGGCTCGTCTTAAACTCCTGGCCTCAAGTGACCCTGTGCAGCAAACTGGATGGAGTTGGAGACCATAATACTAAGTGATCTATCACAGAAACAAAGAACTGCCTTGGCTATCAAAGTGCTGGAATTTCAGGTGTGAGCCACCATACTCGGCCCAATTATACAATTATATATTCATATTTTGAAATCCTATGCATTTGATAAAAAGAATGGGATGTATGTACAGAAAATAAATACAGTTTGTTCTCATTTGTGCTAAAAATGTGTATATATATGTGTGTGTATATATGTATATATGTATATCTGCCGACTCTAGGAAGTTGGGTGTGGAAACGGAGAGCAGCCTTTTACTTTTCAGTCAACATCCTGTTATAGTGTTTGACATAACCACATATTTCTTTAAAAAAAATTTGAAAAGAATGTATATTATGAGAAGTCTTTAAAAAAATCGGTGAAGAGTGCATGAATTTGTCATATATCAAACAGTGGTTGTCTTGGTTGAAAAAGAATTGAGTTAGCAGAGCACAGTGGCTCATGCCTGTAATCCCAGCACTTTGGGAGGCCGAGGTGGGGAGACTGCTTGATCTTAGGAGTCTGAGATCACAGAAGGCTGAGGCGGAAGCGGGTCGAGGCTGTGGTGGCCAGGAGCGGCCACTGCACTCCAGTCTGGGTGACAGAGTGAGACTCCAACTCAAAAACAACAACAAAAAAAAGGAGTCTGAGATCAGCCTGTGCAACACGGTGAGACCTCGACTCTACAAAAAAAAAAAAATTAGCTGGGCATGATGGCACATGCCTGTAGTCCCAGTCACTTGTGAGTTGAGGTAGGCGAACTGCTTGAACCCAGGAGTTTGAGGCTGCAATGAGCCATGATTGTGTCACGGCACTCAAGTCTTGGTGACAGAGCAGGTCCCTGTCTCTTAAAAAAAAAAAGTTATATATGTGACCTAAATATCAGTAGAACTGCAAGGTTACTGTCTGGTTTTATTTTTTCTTTACTTTTCTTTTTTTGAGTCGAGGTCTCCCTTTGTTGTCCTAGCTGGAGTGCAGTGGCACATCACAGCTCACCACAGCTTCAAACTCTTGGGCTCAGGTAATCCTTAGCCTCCTAAAGTGCTGGGATTACAAGCATGAACCACTGTGCCTGGCTCATTTTTTATTTTCATAGTTATTACAAAACTGCCCTCAAAAGTATTGGATATTATAAAATGTTTTAGTCTTGTCAATCTGAGGGTGAAAGTATATTTATTGTTTACAATTTACATTTATTTAGTAGTGAAATAGAGCATTTTTCTTACACCAGCCAAATGAAATTTGCCCATGTACTATAATACTTTGCCTATCTTTCTATTAAGTTAAAAGGTAATTCACATGTAAGATTTTTTTTGTATATTAAGGAAAATAACTCTTTTTGGTCTGGTCATATGCTACCAATTTTTCATTCTGGTTTGCCACTTGACTTTATCGTATTTTTAAAAACCATGTAGACATTCTAAATATTTATGATTAAAACTTATCAAAATTATGGTTTCTGGTTTTGTGTAGTCGTCTAAGAAAGGTTTTTTTTTTTATTTTAAGAATGAAAAATTCACTTATATTTTCTTCTAGTATTTTTATTATTTTTTAAATAAACTTTATTTTGGAGTAATTTTAGATTTACAGAATATTTATAGAATATTTATGGAATTATAATATAGAGTGTGATACACTTTAATGCCTAAAACTTTGATCCATCTGGAATCTGTTAAAAAGATTGAAGTAAAGAGAAAACTTTAATCCATTATTTATCAATTTATTATTATTTATTACCAATTTATTATTATTTTAAAAGACAAAGTCCAGCTCTACCACCCAGGCTGAAGTGCAATGGAACAAGCACAGCTCACTGCAGCCTCAGATTCCTGGGCTCAAGGGATTCTCCTGCCCTAGCCTCCTGAGTTGCTAGGACTATAGGCATGTGCCACCACAGCCGGCTAATTAAATGTTTTTTTTTTTGTAGAGATGAGGGTCTCAGTATATTGTCCAGGCTGGTCTCAAACTCCTCGGCTCAAGCAATACTTCTAGTTCAGCCTCCAAAAGTGCTGGGATTATAGGCATGAGCCACCATGCCTGATCCCAAACTTTATTTTATTTTAAATTTATTTTATACAGTTCAGTGAATGATAATTTTAAAGGTATATTAAACATAATAAAATACATTTAGCAACATGATTTCTAGTGAATTTTGTTTCAAAATACTTGCTTATATACAGAGGTACCCTAAAGCCAGGATTGGTAATCATGGGAGGAGTGACTCCAGAAAGTTCCAAACCAGGTGGATGTAATGGAAGACAGAAATAGAAGTAATTATTGTGATGATTAATTTTGCATATCAACCAGGCTAAACTAAAGTGCCCAGTTGTTTGGTCAAAAGTAGTCCAGATGTTGCTGTAAAGGTATTTTGTATATGTGATTAACACAATTACTTTAAGTAAAGCAAATGACACTCCATAATGCGGGTGGGCCTTATCCAATCTGTTGAAGGCTTTAAGAGCAAATACTAAGGTTTCCTGAAGAAGTACTTTTCCGCAACACTGCAGCAACTCCAGCATGAGTTTCCAGATTGCTGGACTACCCTGCAGATGTTGGACTTGCTAGCCCCTACAATTCCAATGAGCCAATTCCTTAAAAATAAATCACTCTCTCTCTTTCTCTCTCTCATATACACACACACAGACACACACACACACACACACTCTGTTGGCTTTGTTTCTCTGGAGAACTCTACTACAATTACAGAATTATATGTCCTTCTGCATCCTAAATGTGGAATAAAAGAGTAAAATGAACTTCCCAAGTGAATTATGAAGTAGAATACAGGGGTAGAAACAAAAAGTCATTCCCTACCTTTACACTACAGCCATAGTGCTTAAAAGGACAGTCTTGTTCGGCTTCAGGACATACAGCAAGGTGTTCATCCACCTATGAAATGGACAGCCACAGTTATAGAAATTAATCACCAATTCTCCAATTGCCTGATATAACTGCAGCAGCAGGGAGCCAAGAGTGGCTTGGGAAGAAGGGAAGGACCAGGAGAAGGAGAAATGCCTGGCAGGGAAGATCTATGATGAAAACAGAGGACTTTACAGGGAAAAGAAAAGGGAAGACAGAGACACAGTTACAATGGGTATAATTGAAGTCTTGGGTACTTGCCCTTGGGATTTTTATCAAACACACACCACAGTAATTACTAAAACTTTATCTTACATACAATCTACAGAAAGGATTATTTAAGGTTACCTTAGATCTTGGAATAATCTGCAAACACTTTTTGGGACAAGATACCAGGTACTCAGGACACAGGTTTTCCTCATGATTCTGAAACAGAAAAGTACAATGAAACAAAGTCAAGGGTTGTCTCACAGTGATGACACATGTGTCTCTTTGGGGATATATGTCATGTGGCTTACCCGCTACAGGATATTATGGCCTCGTTCCAAATTGAATTAAAGATGTCAGTTTTCTTAATGTAAATAATTCAATTAAAAAATTAAAGTTTCCATGTATAACAAAAGGTTAGAAAGCACGGGATTCAAAGAAGGCAGATTAGAGAATTACTGGCATGGCTTGTTTGGCACATGTAAAAGGTACCCAGTGCTCTCTTTTTATGCCTGTATCCCGCCTCTCCAGCTAGATTATAGAATTCGAGGGCAGACATTATCGTCACCTCCTTGTGACCCAGCGCTAGCATCACTCCTTACACACTCACACACAGCAGGTGCTCAGATAACATTTTTGCCAGTCATAAATGTGGTCCTGCCAACAAGGAGATTTTAAGCTTTTCACAGAACTTCTCTCAGATAAGTCCTTTATATCTGATTCTGTACAAAAGTAAATGGAGGGATATTCTTCTGGTGTCCTACCTGATTCACTGTGACCACTCAGGCAGAATTTAGCCTCATATAGATGATTGTTGTTTTTTACCTGAAGATTGATGACTACCACATCCTTTTTACAATAAAGGCATTTTTCCTCTCGAAACCGACAGTATGCACTCAAATGCTCTTTCAGGTCTTTCCGTAAGACTGGTTCCTGACAGTTCTCGTTAGAACAAGGCACAGCTTGAAATAAGCACTGCTGAAGGTGGTCCTGCAACAGAGAACAACAGGTCAGTAGAACCCGCTGACCGGGACAGTGGGAAGGGAATCAGCTAGAAGACCCAGGAAGGGAGGGAGAATTGGGTGACTGGGGGGAGCTTGGCAGAAAGGTTCTCAAGGGGAGGCCACCTGCTGAGGAGAGGACATGGGGAGGGCTGCTTGGACTGGAGGCTGTGAAGTCCAACCTTGTTTGGGAATTAGGAGGAGAAGGGAACATAGGCACAGAGGGAAGTATATCAAGCTGGGTTTAGATAACCTGGTAATGTGCTTATATTCTCAGCTTAGTTTGTGGATCTTTTCCTTAATTTACCAGTTCTTCAAGGACGATTTTATTTCTTTTTGTGCTCTCTTCATCCTCACCCCTAGCACCAAGTATTGGTTTCTGCACAGCAGATGGTAAAAGACAGGACACAGGGAACAGAAAAAGGAGAGAGGGCTTATTCTGACTCAGTGAAAGGAGGGAAGGGATTAAGAGCAAGAAGAGGAAGGGAGAGGAAGCTGTTCTAGAAGTGATAAGGAGAAGGAGACAAAGGAATTACAGGCACACAGGCCCAAGAGAAGCTGGGAATGATCAGATTTGTAACATCAGGAAATATTTTTAACCATTAGCAATAATTTATTAGCTAGGTATGGTGGCTCATGCCTATAATCCCAACACTTTGGCAGGTGGAGGTGAGAGGATTACCTGAGCCCATGTGTTTGAAACTAGCCTGGGCATCTTGGCGAGACCTCATCTCTACAATAAATCAAAAAATTAGCCAGGCATGGTGGTGGACACCTGTAGTTCTAGTTACCTGGAAGGCTGAGGTGGAAGGATAACCTGAGCCTGGCAGGTTGAGGCTGCAGTGGCCGTGAGCATGCCATTGTACTCCAGCCTGGGAAACAGTGAGACTCTAACTCAAAAAAACAAAACAATAATTTATTAAAAATGCATTTTAATTTTAAAATTAAAATTATTTTTATTTAATGCTAGAGAATAATGACGTGTTCATTCCAGGGTTCTCTGTCCTAGATTTTTAAAAGCAGACACGTCTCCATGAAAACCTTTGTATCACTGCAAGTTATGGTGATACTGACAAGGTGCCAAAATCTCTGTGAACTTGTCTCCCTGCAAGAGCCTTTAAATCAGGTTGGTAAGCTAAGGTTCACAGGCCAAACCTGGTCTGCTACTTGTTTTTATAAATAAAGTTTTGTTGGAGAACAGCCACATCTATTCCTTCACATAGTGTCTATAGCTGGTTTCCCTCTAAAATGGAAGAGCTGAGTAATTGTGACAGAGACTGAATGTCTGTAAAGCCAAAATATTTACTGTCTGACTTTTTTTTTCCTGTCTGGCTCTCAACAGAATTTGGTGACCCCTTCTTTAAAAAAAAAGAGCAAACAGTTTTTTGACAGTAAGATAAATATTATAGCTATTCTCCTTTGCCTCTGGTTATAGTAAGAAACAAATGGTGATGACAGTTGAGATGCACATCTTCCCCCAAATTCTTTGATACTACCTCTTAACTCTCACCTAGTCAACATTCATTTAAAACTCTACTACATGTAAGATCCTACGCCTTACCACACAAGGTCATGGGGGGTGGGAGGGAACAAGGCATGAGGGAAGAAATAAAAGAAACAGGTGGAAAGAAACCAACCCCTGCTCTCCAGAAGCCTGTGATCTGGTCACTAAAGCTGTCTAATGGTCCATCCATTTAAGCCTCATTTCCTTTTCAGGCTTAGTGACAACAAAGTTGGAAAAAAGGCATTGCTCTAAGCCCCAACTATTCTAAACAAGTAACAAAGGACACATGAAAACACAAAAAGTTCCATGAACTCCCAAAGAAATTCCTTGGTTTAACAAGAAAATCATTTACACATTTTATTTTTTTGAGTCGGCGTCTCACTATGTCACCCAGGCTGGAGTGCAGTGCACACTCATGGCCACTGCAGCCTTGACTTTCTGGGCTCAGGAGATCCTTCCGCCGCAGCCTTTCATGTAGCTGGAACTCAGGTGTGCACCATCACACCTGGCTAATTATTTATTTATTTAAAGTAGAGATGAAGTCTTGCCAAATTGCCCAGGCCGATCTCAAACCCCTGGGCTCAGGCAATCGTCTCACCTCAGCCTCCCAAAGTGCTTGGATTACAGGCATGAGACACCACACCTGTCCCATTTACACATTTATAAACTCAGTGCCTGGGGGATCTGGAGGCATGAGAGAAAAGATTGAATCATCTGAAATACAAAATGTGTAGGCGTGAGGGGGAAATTTCAGCCGCCTCCAAGCAATTCCCTGGAAATCTATAGTGCGATCAAACCTGCTGTGGGCCTGCCAGACAGGGCCACATTTCCAGCTTCCCATTTAAGCACTTTCCTGGAAGGAAGAGCAGTTGAGGTAGCTTCATTTGAAAGGCACCCAACTCTCTTTCACCTGTACTTCCCCTACATTTTATTGTCTTGCATCTCCTATCAATGCTTCACCTTTAAACCACAAGTTATCTCTTTTCTGGTCTGCGTGATCGGCCTTAGATTATAAACACTGCGACACCGGGGCCCACAGCTGCTGGGAAACCCTCACCACAGCACCAGATGAGAAAGCAAATGCTTTCAGGGAGGGACCTTCACAATCACATCTTTCTGCAGTCATGCCCAGGCTCCCACCCTAGAGACCCCAGGCCCGTCACATGCCCCAAGATGACATGTCCTTGTTGAGTGTTCCTTGCGTCCAGCATGTCCCATCCCTCTCTTTTGGCTCAATGATCCTTTACACACATTTTAAGGTCCAGTGGACATGGCATGTCCTTTATGTACTCCACACAGAATGAACCTCTTCACTCCTACCTCAGCCCCTAGTGTGCTGTAGCACCACAGCTAACTGTATTCTTAAACCAGGAATGCTCTGAGGGCAACTCAGCGAATCCCCGTACCATGCTTAGCCCAATGACTGTCACATAAAGGGGTTCAATACCCCTGGAAAAATGGCAAAGGCAAATATTGTTCATGAGTAAGACCAACCTGGTATCGTCCCAGAATAATCTTGGCATTGCATCCAGGAGCGTTGTTGCAATATATGTATAAATTGAGGACTTCTCTTTTGCAGCAATTGTCTTTAAATATCTAAAAAATAAACATATTGGGTCTCACACACTCCAAAGCTTTACAGCATTGTGAATTAAGATACTATTAGTTTGGTCTTCAAGTATATCTCAAAAGTCAGACGGAAACTTTCAGACAGTGGTTGGAATGGAAATATCACACTACCACACCAAAAGAAAAGGCCATCCCAGATACAACCTTCTGACAAGTCACCCAACACTCAAGGCAGGTAACTCAATGTCTAGTACACACTGCAGCAGGGAAGAATCTCATGGTGAACTTGACACCACACTCTCAAAGGTCAGGAGGTAGGGTGGCCAAGAGTGGTGCTCTCAGCTTCCTGTCCCAGGGTAAATGTCTGCATTACTCATCAGATAGTGTCACTGAAGTTGTGCTGACTTGTTATTTCAGTGCAAACCAGGGGTTGGCAAACTTTCTCTGGGAAGGGTCAGATAGTAATTATTTTCAGCTTTGCAAGCCACATTACATCCATCTCTGTTGCCACATTTCAACTTTGCCATACACAATACTTAAATAAATGGGCACAGCTATGTTCCAATAAAACATTATATATAGACATTGACATTTGAATTTCATATAATTTTCACACCACAAAACATTATTCTTCTTTTGATTGTTTAAAATAAATTTGTATTTTGAAGTAGTATAAGATTCACAGGAAGTTGCAAAAATATGAGGGCTTCTATGTACCCTTTTGATTTTTTCAACCATTAAAAAAATGTAAAACAAAAAATATATATATTTTAGGTCACAGGCCATACAAGAACAAGTGGTAGGCTAGAGTTGTTCCAAGATTGTAGTATGCCAACTCTTAGCAAGTGGATCAAACAGATACACATAGCCCTCTGGTAGGCATTTGCAAAACACATCATAAGTATAGAGAACAGACATGTACATCAGATTAGGTGACTAAGGAAAGCTTTCTGGAGGTGATCACTTGAATATCCTACACCAGAATCTTAAAGGAGGAAAACTGAACTTAAAGGGAAGTTTTAAGAGAGAAAATCTTCATGACCATGGGATAGGCAGCAGTTTCTTAGTTAGAACACCAAAAGAACAAGCAATCAAAAAAAGAAGAAAAAAAAAGATGAACTAGACTTCAAAATGAAAAAATTTGTGTTTCAAAGGACACCATTAAGAAAGTGAAAAGACAACCCACAGAATGGGAGAAAAATATTTGCAACTCACACAGCTGATAAGAAACTTGTATCCAGAATATATAAAGAACTCTCTAACTCAACAATAAATAACAAATAACCCAATTTTTAAAATAAGCAAAGGAACTGATTAGGCATTTCTACAAAGAAAATATACAAATGGACAGTAAGCACATGAAAAGATGTCCAGCTTCATTAGCCATCAGGGAAATGAAAATCAAAACTACAATAAAATACCAGTTTACACCCCACAAGGAAGGCTGTACTCAAAAAGACTGAGAATAATAATTTTTGATGAGAACTAGAGAAATTAGAATACTTGGTACAGCTGCTTTGAAAAACAATCTGATAGTTCTCAAAATGTGAAAAACACCATATGACTCAGTAATTCTACTCCTAGGTACCCAAGGAAAACGAAAACTAGGTCCACATAAAAACTTATACATGAATATTCATGAAGGCATTATTCATAACAGCTCCAAAATGGACACAAACCAAATGTCCATTAACTGATGAACAGATGAACAAAATGTGGCCTATCCATACCATGGAATGGTATTTGGTAATAAGGAATCGAGTACTGATACATTCTACAACCTGGATGAACCTTGAAAACATTACACTAAATGAAATAAGACAGTCACAGAAAGCCATATAGAGCATGATTCTATCTATAAGAAATATCCAGAATAGGCAAATTCATAGATGCAGAAACTTGATGAGTGATTGAGGGGAATTGGGAGTGACTGCCAATTGGTATGGGGTTCCTTTGTGGGGTGATGGCAATATTCTACAATTAGAGAGTGGTGATGACTGCACAACTCTGTAAATATATTAAAAATCTACTGAATTGTATACTTTAAGAGGAAAATTTTAAAGGTATGTGAGACATAGCTTAATAAAGTTGTTTTATTATTATTATTATTATTATTTGAGTTGGAGTCTCACTCTGTCATTCAGGCTGGAGTACAGTGGCATGCTCACAGCCACCACAGCCTTGACCTGCTAGGCTCAGGCGATCTTACCCCTCAGCCTTCCAAGTAGCTGGAACTACAGGCACATGTCACCACGCCTGGCTAATTTTTTGATTTACTGTAGAGAAGAGGTCTCGCCAAGTTGCCCAGGCTGGTCTCAAACCCGTGGGCTCAGGCAATCCTCTTACCTTGGCCTCTCAAAGTGCTGGATTATGGCACAAGCCACTGCGCCCAGCCAAGAAAGCTTTTATTAAACATAATAATAATACAAGGAAATTTAAAGGATTAACCAGATGGGAAAGTGAATTCCAGGAAACAGCATGTTCCGATTCTCTCAGCAGCTCAATATGGCTGGAGACAGTGTAGAAAGGGAATGAGGAGGAAGCAAGAGAGGAGGCCTGGGGTGGGGGTAGAGGGTGCAGGCAGTATAGACCCAAATGAGCCTCTCAAACAGGTGTAGGAGGAGGAGGAGTAGCCGCTCCTGACCCCACAGCAGAGGAATATGAACTCCAAGGAAGGTCTCCCTCGACCATTCTCCTGCTCCCTCCTCAACGTCTATTTCAACCAGCATACTGGCTTCTTATTCTCTATCACTCAGAAAGCTGCTAAGCCAGAGCAGTGACTGTCTTACCTCCTGAGATTTGATGACCTCCTTATCTACAGGACAGATTGGCACTGCATTTAATTCCCTGGAGAGAGAAATAAAAACAGAGCCCAAGTTAGATATTTACCTCAATGCCTCTTCCAAGAGCAGCCCAGCACTCCAGCCATGTTCTAGCCCTGGGCAGGTGGGTCCCTGTCTTTGCACATGTTGTTTCTTCTCCCCTGAAGGCAGCCCCTGTACTCCTACTAAAGAGCCTCCCCAGTCTTTCAGTCTGTCTGAAAAATTCCCATTCATCCTCCAGGAAGCAGTCAAACACTGATTCCCCAGGTAGAGTTAAACGCCCCTTCTTTTGTTTGTTGTGCTCGGCCACATCTGTCTCTTTCACTGGACTAGGACAGTCTAGAGGCAGATGTGACTTTTTGTTACACACTGTACCTCTAGCTCTTCAGTTCTGCACTCAAGAGCTTAATTGGGCAAAGTGCCTGGAACACACAGATGCTGAATGCACGAACACAGGAGTGAATGAGGACCCAAGGTAATAAACCCCTTTTAAAGCTTGACAGGGTAAAACAACTGCCTTGTTGCCCCTATATAAGCCCCCAAAGCCTGCTTCCATGTCTCTCCTGGTCTCCTCTCTCAAAATGTCATGAGACAGGTTTTTTGGGGTTTTTTTTGAGTTGGAGTCTAACTCTCACTTTTTTGGGTTTTTTTTTTTTGAGTTGGAGTCACCCAGGCTGGAGTACAGTGGCATGCTACAGTTATTGCAGCCTTGACCTGCTGGGCTCAGGCAATTCTTCTGCCTCAGCCTTCCAAATAGTTGGAACTATAGGTGTGTGCCACTACACCTGGTTAATTTTTTTATTTATTGTAGAGATGAGGTCTTGCCAAGCTGTCCAGGCTGTTCTCGAACCCCTGGACTCATGCAATCCTCTCATCTAGGTCTCCCAAAGTAATGGAATTATAGGAGTGAGCCACTGTGCCCGGTCATAAGCTGTTTTTACAGCTGCCCAGGAGTGGGGACAGCATCCATGACAGTGAAGTCCCTTCTGGAGCTATAGTACCTCTATCTCAAGGCAAGGAAAGGTTAGGGTGACTGCAACAGAGGCACCATGAGATTCAGGCCTTTCCCAACAGCTGGTGCCCAAACAAAGTGTGCATCTGGGTCTACTTTCCCATGCAAAACAGGTATAGCCTGAATTTTAAGAAAATTCAGGTGAATACCTATAAATGAGTAGCAAAAAAATGAAGATTTCTCTTCAGGCCCTCAGAGGGGCGCTGAGAGAGCCTTTCCTTGTATTCATGGTACTGTGGCCAACCGCAGCAATTCCAAAAACCACGATTACAGTTAGGTGGCCACAGCTGGCACTGAGGCTGAGCTGCAGGCCCTGCCCACTTACCTCAGGGACAGAATGCAGTGCTGGCAGAAGCGGTGCCCACAGCCTGTCTGGTGGGGGTTGTGAAGCACCGAGTGGCAGAAGGCACATTTGTAGCGCTCTTCCAACTGTTCCACAAACTGGTACTCTGTATCAGGCTCAAAGTCCAAGGAAATGGAGTTGCCGGAATTCTGGCGGATGAAACCACAGGGAACACCTCCTTTCTCCTCCAAATAAGCCATCCTGGGGAGTCAGGGGAAGAGAAGGAAAACCAAGTGTGCAAACATCAAAACAACTACGGTCATCAGGTTTTGTTTTGTTTTTTGAGTCGGAGTCTTACTCTGTCACCCAGGCTGGAGCGCAGCAGCACACTCACAGCCACTGCAGCCTCAACCTGCTGGGCTCAGGAGATCCTTCTGCCTCAGCCTTCCAAGTGGTAGGAACCACAGGCATGCGCACCATACTTGACTAATTTTTTGATTTATTGTAGAGATGAGGTCTTGCCAAGTTTCCCAGGCTTGTCTTGAACCCCTGGACTCAGGCAATCCTCTCGCCCAACTTCCCAAAGTGCTGGGATTACAGGTGTGAGCCACCACGCCTGGCCAGACATCAGGTTTTTTAGTTGTTTGCTTAATAATTAGTGAATATCATTCACGTGGTCATTCTGTTATGACTTTATAACAATAGTGACAACCTCCTGCCTGCCACTGGGGAGCTCTTGAAATGGTGAGATGTATTTGGGGTGCCCAAGTTGGAGAACCAGATGACTTCTAGCAAGAGTGTAAGAGACTTCAGCTCTTTGTCCATCAACTTTTTTTTTTTTTTTTTGAGTTGGAGTCTCACTCTGTCACCCAGACTGG